AAAACTCCAGTGCATGTAACTTGAAATTTTACCAGAGAAAAGGTACAGGACAGACAAAGTGTCATCCTAACCAGTATGACAGAAGTGTAGGTCCCAGACCATTTTCTGTTCCATTTTAAGGTGGTATTCGCCACTCCTAGACATACTCCAAGCTTGACTGACCAAGGTCCTGAATAATCTGACCTAGTGTTGAAGTTAAACCTGCTTGAGCAGGAGGTTGTGCAAGATCAGCTCCTGATGTCACAAATCAAAGTATCCCATAAATAAAAGTGGGGGGAAAAAAGCCCTATACAACTGTATAAATCTCAGTATCAAAGATAGCACTCTTTTTTTTTTTCAAAATCAAAAGTTCGTTATTAACCAGGGCAAGCTTACTTTTCAGAGACTCTGTAGCCTTCATTGGTGGTCACTGCTTTGTATTTCATGTTCCCTTTAGTCCGCTCCAACTCATCACGCCAGTCCTCAAGTGTCTCAAACATCACAGTTTGGTTTCTTCCATCTGTCAGACATCAATAATGTTAACTCTGCAGACTATCACAAACTCTAACGTGAAAGCACTCCTAAATCATGTAGTTAGCTGCCATCAAGGTAAGCAAGAAAAACCTCCTGTGTACAGGAAGCCTCAAGTCAAGTGCCTCTGTACACCACACTGTCTCTGTCTGATCTTTAACAACACTATCTTCTGTCAAATACTGCTGTGACTAATAACTTCAGGAACACTTAGTCCTATAGAAACTAATCTGTCCTTACAGAACTTCCATACAGTTGAAGCTGTCCTCACATTCAGCCCAAAATCCAGGAGACTGTGCAGCAAATACAATTTTATACAGACATAGTATAAATAAAATAGTAATAACAACAACAGCAATAATAAAAAAAGCTGACTGGCATCTAATGATATAGGTTTAAATGCAGAATGAACAATCATACCAAAAATCTTTCTACAATTCAAATACTGCATTTCATTACAAATAAATTCTTTTATCATGGATAGGAATTCTGCATTGAATGGAACACTTCAGGGGCTTGATAAGAGCAGAAAACTGATTACAGCAATTCAGTCTCAGTAATTTCAACTGAGAACCTTTCAAGCTATTCTATTTAGCCACCTCAGCAACAGTTATGACAGCAGCTTGATTTAGCTTCAAATCTTGTATAATTTATGGAGTAAGGTCAATTGTTTTAGGCACTTGTCATAATTAAGTAACATCCTGCAACATCAGCTAACACTGAAATACCAAACAGCTAGAATTTCCACAGAAGATACAATGGCAAGCTGAAACTTTCCACTATAAGAAGATAAGGCAGATGAAAAATTTACAGCTCAAAACAGAACATTATTAATGAGCTCTTAGAGACAAGTTGAGATTTTAAAAGTATCAGACCATAAGAGACATAAAAACCAATTTCTAACGTCTACTTGGTCTGTCCTGTAACAACTTCATAAAGAAGAGACCTAGCCACTTACTACTGAAAACAGTTAATAAAATATGAAAGAATTCTGGGACAGTACTTCGGTGCTGCTGTAAAGACTAGACTTCTCTCACATGCACTCAGTCTCTGCCCAGAAAAGCTTGCAGCCTTTTTGATGTTTGTAGCTGAAACCGAACACCAGTTACAGGTGAAGCCTGCACCAACTACCTCAGCCAGCAACATGCCCTTGCCGCAAAGGCAGACAATGCATTCCTGGGTTGCATTAGGAAAACCATTGCCTACCAGCTGAATCAAGTGATCACTGTTCTCAGCTCAGCACTGGTGAGGCCGTGCCTGGAGGGCTGTGTCCAGTGCGGGGCTCTCCAGTACAAGACAGGCACAGACTTGTTAGACCAAGTCCAGTGAAGGTCCACTGGGATCATTAAAGGGCTCGAAGTACCTGACATGAGGAGACTGAGAGCTTGAATCATTCAGCCTGTAGAAAAGAGGGCTCAGCAGGGGCACAAAGGGACACAAAATCTTCCCAGTGTGTATAAAACCCTGACTAAGGGTGGAAGCAGAGGAGGACAGTACAGAAGATGCATCTAGATTCAGTAACATGACAAAAGGCAGTTATACACGAGTCGAACCACACTAAATCCTGCTTAAATGAAACAATAAATTTTTTTCACTATGAGGATGGTCCAGTAATGAAACAGACTGTCCACAAAGGCTGTGCAGTCTCAGACCTTGGAGGTACCTGAGACTCAACTGGTCAAGACCCTGGTAAGCTTGCTGTAGTTAACCCTATTCTAAAGAGGAACAGATAGACAGGAACATGACTAGATGATCTCGAGATGTTTCTCTGAACCCCAACAGTTCTGAAATTCCTTGACGTATTTTGTGATTAATACCTTGCATACATCGAAACTTCCCTCTGTGAAAGGAATTGGTGTTTTTATTGCACTAAGGATCAGGTTCCTAATTCAAAACAGCACTGTTACTTCAGTTGAAATCTGAACTATGGAACACTAGAAAGTGCACTGACAACTTTTTATCTTGAGTTTTGCAGCTTACTGTATTATTCAGCCAATTTTGATCAAGGGGAAGGTTATGTAATCAGTCAGATATAAGAAGAAGTCAGTCTACAGGAATCTTGCTATGCTTTTTTTGCAGTTGCCTGGGAGAAGCATATTGCTTGCAAGTAAGTTCAAAAAAGGAAATACATTCTGATGCCACTGAAAATGCAATAATTTCAGGATTAAGAGCAGGAAGTTTGGTTCACATCAGTAGCACAAGAAAACCACACTGACAAAAAAGCAAAATATTTTCTAGGTGAAGCACATGAAAAGCATTTGCACATATTGGTCACAGTAAGTTTGCAGTCCTGACATGCTTGGAAAATTTCTGTGCAACTATCTGAAGGACACAGAAGCCAACAGCAGACAATTTAGAGATTTTTAGCAACAGAGTACAAGAGAAAAATTAATGTTTTGAGGGTATCTGCCAGCGGGGCAGAATCATAAACCAAGCACAAACTCAACTACTCAACATCTCAGACTGCTTAAGGAACTAACTATGCAACAAACAGATCAAAATTAGGAAAATATTTACCTGAGTTGTTTGGGGCAGCTGATGCATAAGAGAACAGAAACAAACGTTTAAGCAGCTTAGGAGTCTGGCTATGATGAACTATACCACTGACGATCTAGAAAAGGACCAAAAATTAACACCAAACACAAACCAAGACTGTCAGTGTAAAAAAAAGGTGATTTTTTTTTTTACCACGCCCCTCTCCCTCCAGGTTTTATACAAAACTGATGGGTTCTATCACCAACAACTGAAAAACTTTATTTTAGAAAGCTTTCTCTGTTGCCTATACACTATACCTACCTGGCCTAAGTAGTATTATGTATGTTCAACTTCCAGAATTACTCCATTTAAATAAAACTAGTGGACTCCAGTTTGGAGTTCAGATTAACCTGTCAAAAGAACTGAAACTACCAGGAAACTAAGAGGTTTCATAAGAAAATGGATGAAGTCTAAAATATAATGAAATTATATGTCATAAATAGAACGGCTTTACAAGGCTGAAGCTAATTTCATATAGCACTCCAAAGTTACCTTTTTTTTTAAAGAGACAGTGCATCTGATCTTTGAACTGCTATACATAACCAAGTTTAACAAAATCAGTCTTTTACTTTCTCTCTCAACTGGAAATGATCAGAAAACACTTCAAGTTTAAGGACTCTCTCAGGGTGAATTTCATCTTTCCCTTATCCCCACAACTAAACAGCCAATACTAGCTTAAAAATAGATAAACAAATGAAGTAACTACACTTACTCTTTTCACTTCCTCTTCTTTTGTGTATCTCAGGCAGAAATTAAATACTCTGAGGTCTTTACAGTAGATAATTAAGTTCTCTGGATATTTTTTCAGTTGCCCAGTTAGAAGTTTCTTTTTCTCATCATAAACTGCAAAATTATAAAGTCTAAGTAAATAGCGAAAATATATTTGCTGTCTGTTGATAAAGTTATCCCTGCCTGACTTTTCAGAACTCCCAATAAACTAATTCAAGTCCAAGTTTCAGCAAGACAAAACAAGCACCGAACAACACAGGCTGGCATGATCTGTGCCAATATATTCAACCTTCTTTTATTCAACCCCTCCAATTACTTCCTACAAGGTAGAAACCAAACTTGTAGCACACCAGCTGCTCAGTGACTATTTCTGTTCACGCTCTGACTGCACCGTAAGTTCAAAATTTTGAGACACATAAAGAACACCATTTAATAGTTTTACCCGAGGGAAAGTACCCAGAACAGCTGAGATCATTCTAAGTTCCTCAAAAAAACTATTTTTTTAACCACCATGAAGTCCCCAAGAAAGACCTTAGCTCACTTCTCTTTGAGGATGTCCCATTTCACAACTTCAAGTGCTGCCAGCTAGGCCACTGCATATGAAACTTAAGTCTCATAACCAGCTTCACTAGTCTGCCCCCAGTTCACTCCTTCACGAATCCACACCACCCTTCACAAACACTCTGAATACTCATACACTAGACCGAGGTCAGGCTTCTCAGTAAAGCCTTCCCTTCTACAACTTACCAGCCCCATACCTATAAGCCCTGCTGCAATGCACTCCTTGATTTACTTGTGAATTAAACCCTCATTTTCTATATCCTTTAATGAAGACATCATCAATGGCTTTAGAAAAAAAAGAAGCTCCTTTAGACAAACAAAAAGTATTGTTTGGGAACTTGGTACCTGTCCTGCTCTGCTATTGCTCAAATTAAGTGAACACCTCCAGATTTCTAGAAATAGTTGACAGACTGGGAGACCTTTGTGCATCGCACTTAGAGATTTTTCACAGCACATTCTCTGCTTTGAATTACTGCATTTTGAAGGAATTGTTTTGTCTGTCTCAGCAAGAAATTAATCAAATTAATCAACTAAAATTAATTAACAAGCTTGGGGGATAAGACTGGGTTCTGATAGGTTTCTTATCTGTCATTTCATCATTAAATGTAACTGCAGCTGCTATTTCTAGACTACCCAATCCTAGTTTCCACAGTGACAAATCTACCAGTTTTCCAAAAAGGATGTACATGTATGAGGAGCATCAGCACTGTAAGACACTGCAGAGGAAAAAAGCTGACCTACCTCCATAGATTTGATCTACGCACTGCAGGCTTATGTCATTTTCTCCTACGATCTTATTTTTAAATTGTGGCTCCTAGAATATTAAAAACAATTTAGACATGTCAGACTGCTGAACAGTAGCACCTTCCCACAAGAAAAACATGCATTCAGTACATTATTTTAATATCAGCACTACTTATTCTTAAAAGCTGTGTAAGGCAGAACACTGAAGAACAGTGAATAAAATACAGACAGATGCAGGTTACACAGATACAGTTTTATAAACTACAGATACAGTCTCATTTAAGCCTCAGCCATGCTTGAAATGTAGAGAGTTTTTACTTCTCAAATAGCTTCAAAGCCTTCATTTCTATTGAGAGTCACTTTTCAAACTCGAATCATTGCAGTAAACAGGAAATACAGTAACTTCATGTAATCCAAGCCCTTCTATGACAAATTTCCTTGCTATGGGAACCTGGCAGGAAATACAAAGTCTCTTAAAAGAACAAATATCCCAAAAATATTTCAGCATTACAGCCAGATTTATCACTGGGTAAACTGAAGACATACACAACTCAATTATCTTATTTACTGTTTCACCAAACCTGAAGTGATTTGGCGTTCCCTTCACTTTGATCATTCCATAAATTCGGCGTTAAAAATGACATTTGAGTGAAGCCACAATTAAATGCTGTAAAATGTTATTACCAAAAGGCTGATGTACAATACATCAGTAATTAAATTTTACTGTGAACAGAGTTAACCTTATTCAAGTTACTTGCAAATCTGCAGTACTCTGCATCAGGTGGCTAATACTGAACTTTTGTTAAAAGAAATACAGTTGATTTGGCATGCTATAAACCCCAGATTTAAAGCTGGAGATGGAACAGAAATTAGCATGGCCATTACCAGCTTTCCACAGATCACCTGAGATTTATGCTAGAAGACTCTGCAGCTATGTCTTAATTAATTTTAGAAGGTCAGAAAATCTGTATTTGGCTGCAAAAGCCTTAGTTTAACATTTAAGCTTCAAGAAATTTTACCAAGAGACTTCTCACTGTTCTTTGCTGTTGAGATCACCCTGCACTCAAGAGCCATATACTAGGCTCACCTTTTGCTTTTATCACCTAAATGGATCAAACTGTTTCAATGTTTAAGCACATGAAAAAATGGTGTGGCATTATCATTGCCCTCTGACAGATCACTGTGAGCACTTAAACCAAAGAAATTAATGTCTAATATTTGGGGAGTTTTCAGGTTTTTCTTCGCAAGCTCAACAGCACCAGGTTTTCACACGTTTGCAGTTAACACCTGACTTTGAATGGAATGATTCAGAGCTGTAGTAAGCCACATAAATAATTACCTAGAGCATCTCCACTGAGTAGTAGCTTACTAAGTCTTAGCCCTGAAATGTTACTGCAGATGTAGTCCAAAGCCTAGTGAGAGAGATGTTATCCACCATCAGAAGTATGTCTGACATTCACACTTTCACAATTGCTACTAGCCAAGCAGTCAGAAATGAGGTTGATTCAATTTTCAAAACAATGGATTCTTTTGACTTAAGCTTCACCAACTCACAAATTATAAACAGTTACAACCTATGTCTAAATAAGTGTCCACATTTACAGGCCTGCACAGTTTTTACTTAAAATAGTCACTAGAGCTTGAGGAAGTATCTGCATAGATCAAGCAAATGCAGAGTGATTATTCTGCAGCCATCAAAACATCTTGTAATTTTAAGTTCATTCTGCCTCCTTATATAAGGGAAAGATACTATTTACTCAGAGACACTACATGTCTCCAGAGCCTGTTTGGTCATAATTAGAAGACTTGTTTTCTTACATTATCATCTGAAGCTGAATCGTCATCCAGGAAAGAAATCTTGAAGTTTGTGCACACAAGTTTCCCATAGGTGCCACGATTTGACCCATCTTCTTGGATATACTTGTATACTGTGCTTGCTTCACAAAGCAGCAGTTCACCTGCATAAAAGAAACACTGACTTTCAACATAACTGACATTTATAATTCAATTATTTCAATTGTCATCTTAAACTCAGCATTAACTTCCTGACAGTTCTCAGAACTATATGCCTGAAGACAGTTCATCACTGGTATACAAGACAACTAAGAGGCAGCTCCTGGAATCAGAACATTGAGAGCTTTCCAGGTAAACATTACTCCAGATGGCCTGAACTGCAGACACTTAGGAGCTCTGCAACCAGAGGTACCTGTGCCACCTGCCTAAGTGTCAGGAGAACAGTTCATGGAGCTGCAGAGAGCAACCATGCAAGTGCTCTTGAAAAAACCCCAAACCCAACAAAGAGTAGTTCATGCAGTCAATAAACAAATGGGAAACTGTTCCAAATTTCCTTCCTGTTACACTCTCAGAATGCTGCAATATTTGAGTTAATTATTTCAAGTTCATCATAGTTAATTTTTCATAGCTTTGACTGGAGATAAAATAAGCCCTGCTTATTTCACAGGGCCCAGGGCTATTTTAAAGTTCTCAAACACAAGTTTGCATATGTAATGATCAATGAAGTTCTAGTCTTACAATTCACAGGAACTGAACTTCAAGCTTAAGAAAGTAAAGTTTTAATTGGTATAATCAGACACTTGGTCCTTCCTGTCCTCAACATAAGAAGGACATGTAAATGTTGGAGCAAGTCCAGAGGAGGCCACAAAGTTGATAAGAGGACTGGAGCATTTCCCCTATGAAGACAGGCTGAGGAGGTTGGGGCTGTTCAGCCTGCAGAAGAGAAGACTGTGTGGAGACCTCATAGCAACTTTTCAACATCTGAAGGGGCCTACAAGGGAGAGGGACTCTTAGTCAGGAACTGTAATGACAGGACAAGGGTTAACAGGTTCAAACGGAAGGAGGGAAAGTCTAGGTTAGATATTAGAAAAGCAGTCAGCATGGCTTCACCAAGGGAAAGTGATGCTTGACTGTGCTGGTTTGGTCTGAAGTAGAGTTAACTCTCTTCACAGTGCCCAGTATGGGGCTATGTTTGGGTTTTGTGCTGAATACAGAGTTGATAATGCAGAGATGTTTTTGTTGTTGCTGAGCAGAGCTCACACAGAGCCAAGGTCTTACTGTGTTCCGTACTGTCACACTGGCAAGGAAGTTGGGGATACATGGGAGATTGAGAGGAGACACAGTCAGGACCGGTGACCCAAACTGACCAAAGGGATATTCCATACCATATGACATCATGCTCAGTATATAAGGTGGGAGGAAGAAAGAGGAACGAGGGGACGTTAGGAGTGACGGCATTTATCGTCCCAAGAAACCATTGCACGTGATAGGCCCTGCTCTCCTGGAG